TATTTATTTGGACCCACTGTTTGTTTGGTTTTTTTTCTAACGTGGGCATTCACAGTTATATTCCCAGTTAGGACTATATTTTCATTGTGTTCCCTAGGATCTGATATGTTGTTACATTGGTGTTATTGTTTGATTCTAGGAACTAATTTCTTCTTTAATTTCTTCTTTGACTCATTGATTATTCAAGAGAGTATGGCTTAATTTTCATGTGTTTGAATAATTTCTGTGGGTTTTTTTGCCATTGATTTTTAGTTTCATTGCACTTTGATCTGATAATATGCATGGAATAATTTCAATCCTTCTGTATTTATGCTTTATCGGCTAGCACTGATGTGAAGAATGTGTATTCTGTTGTAGGGTGGTACATTCTGTAGATATGTATAATTTCATTTGTTTGAAGGTTTGGTTAAACTCTTGATCTGTTTTCTGTGACAATGGGGTATCAAAGCCCCCCATTATACTTGTGTTGATGTTTATCTTATTTTTAAATGTTCAGAAGTATTTGTTTTATGAAATTGGGCATGCTGGGTTTTGATGCATATATGCTTGTAATTGTTATCACTTCTTTTTAAATTGTTCCTTTAACAAATATTTAGTGACCTTTACCTCTTCTGTTCCATTTTGGGTGAAATCTACTTTATCTGAAACTAGGATAACTATTCCTGTTTTTTTCTGGATTCCCATTGCATGGAAGATTGTTTTCTATCCTTTGATTTTTTAATCTGTGAATTTCTTTTTGAATTAAATTTCTTGTATACTGCATATCATTGAATTTTGTTTCTTGACTTTTTGCCAATCTGTGTGTTTTTATTGGGGGAATTAAGACCATTCACATTGAGAATGATTCCTAAAAGTTACTGATTTACTCCTGTCATTGCATTACTTTCTTGTTGTTCATTTCATCATTTTTTTTTCTTTCTGCTGAACTGCTCACCCAGCCTGGTGTATTCATTCTATTAGATTTTTTGGCATTGTTGGCTTCATTTTCTCTTTCTAGGGTACCCTTGAAAATTTTTTCATAGTACTGGTTTTGTGGTCATGAATTTCTTGAAGTATTCTTTGTCATAGAAAGACTTATTTCTCCATCAATTTTGAAATTTAAGTTTTAGAGGTTATAAAAGTCTGGAATAGAAGTTGTTATCTTTTAAGGGTTAAAATATTCACTCTAAGATCTCCTGGCCTGTAAGGTTTGTGTTAAGAGATCTGTTGTAATTCTGGTGGGTTTACCTTTATAAGTGATTTGTTGCTTTTAAATAGCTTTTAAGATTCTGTCCCTGTGTTGGACTTTTGAGATTTTCACTATTAAGTGAAAGAGATGTTAAATTAAGAGAGGTTCTCTTTTAATAAAGGCTATTTGAATTTCTGTATTCCTCTCTTATCTGTATGTGTATTTCTTTCCCTATATTTGAAAAGTTTTATGTTATTATTTGTTATTAGGATTATTATGCCATTTGTGCTGTCTTCTGACTTTTCACTTATTGCATTTAATCTTAGATGAGTTTTCTTTGTATCATGTAGCAGTTATTGGATCCATTATTTCATGTTGTCATCATTTCAAATAATTTGTCTATGTGGCTTTTACTGTGCTTCCACTTGATGCCCCCTGGATCAGATATGGGGGAGTTGGGAGTTTTGGGAGGCACTTTGTTGCCTTGTCTTCTCATGTTTCTATTGTTTTTGTTTGTTTTTGTGTGTGTGTCCTTAGGTTTGTGGGGACTTACAGTGAAATGACAGAGTTGCTACTATGGCAATCTCTTTAGCTTGCTTTTCAGTGATGGACTTGGTGTGGCTAACTGTAGTCCCTTTCATCTGTCTCAAGATCTAACCATGAAGCGTCATTGGCCTGACACCCAGTTTTCTGGAAATGAACTATAGGATTGTTAATGTCACAAAAGTAATCTGGATATTGACATACAAAATAAAGAAACAGGGCATCTGCTTTACTAGTTTCTATGTGTTTACCTGACCATTCTTCCCCTGCTTTGTGCTTTTACTCTTGCACTTAGTTACTAGGTTTGCTGCCACTTAATTTTAAAAGGATAGTGTTAGCCATATTCCTGGGTCACTGAGTCTTCGATGCAAAGTTGAATGACCAGTTTAAATCTGGGTGTAAACATGTGGATTTCACATGGAACCTAGATTCTAATGTTTATTTCACACTTGATTCTCTCCAATTTGGAACCCGTTAGCTTTTCTGTGTAAATCTTTTCATCTGAGAAATGAAGGAAATAAACTATAGCAGGTTCCCCAGTGGTCCATGGGCCATGATGCTGTTCTATAATGAGATAAATGCAGACAGCAAACGTTAGAAAACTTTCACATAATTCAATAGGGTGTTCTATGTCTGTGGCATATAATAATAAAAAGATGAGCTTACATTTTGAGTAGACAAATTCAGTTTTTTAGCAAATCAATTTTATTGTATTTTAAAAAGTATCGATCTGCATTGCATTGGAAAAAGAAAAACAAAACAATCTAGTCTTTCACTTGAGGTAGTCTGGGAACCTCTGTCTCTGTATATAGGATGCAAAATTTTCTCTGCCTCTTTCTACTCTGGCCAGCAGAGATATTATATTTTTCCTCTGTAGCTTAATTAAGAAGGGGCAATACATTGCTTGTTTACCCTGTTAGAGCATAAAGTTGGCAGCAAATAGAGTTTGTTATAAGGAAATTTACAGAAAATAAGAGGTCATTTCTTGCTCTAATACATATAAATTTCTCTGTCTGCATTCTCGCAGAGCTCAAATTAGTGTCTTGCACTAAGATAACATGTTTCTCTCAGAACACGAACCCAAAGAGTGGTGAAAATACCCTATCCTCATTCATCTTATTCCCCCAATCTCCCACAGAAGAAATCTCTGGTGATGGCTGGTGTACTGATGGTACAGGTACAATAAGGGTGGATGAACAAGGTAAAGATGTGTCATGTTTGCTAAAGAGATTTCCACAGATGTTTATGAGCCTATCCGGCCATTCAATTCATGCATCATTTGAGAAATCCATTCTCTGGATTGGCATGACAGGGACTGACCTGTACACAGGCAGCAATGTGGTGGCACCTTCATCCCTCACCTTTGTGCTTCTCCGTTATTTTCTCTACCTGGTAAAACATGGTGGAGGAACAAGGCAACATAGTGATGGGAAGCAGCAAACACTGTTGGTTCCCCACACTCTGGACCACTTGTTTGCAGACTTTATGCCATGTAGACTGGAAGAATCCAAGGATCCTGTGCTGCTCCCAGGGGTCTCACACATGACCTGGCCTTGCATGGGAAGGGTCCCTTGGCCCACACTTCCTTCCTGGCTCTTATGGGTTTTATACTACATTTCCTCCCCTTAAGTAAAAAGGGAGAATCTTTGACTGCTCTATTAGCAGGGAAATAAATCACCCTTTTTTCAAGTTTTTTTTTAATCCAGATGATGGTAATATATATTCTGAAACTCTGCTGGCAGCCTGGGCAGGCTTTTCACATTTTACGTGGACTTAACATGAATTGGATTTAGTTCTCTGATTTCCCTGCCTCCATCTCTTGAACAACTTATTTATTACCTGAGTCTGTGTCAGTGGATCAGACATGCACAGAGCATGTTGATTGTAAGTGTGTTTGTAGGGTAAGTTTTATGCCAGCCAAAATTGTCTTATATTGGTTTGTTGAAAATTTAATGTGCTCATCCTCAGTTTGGCATCTGTGTTTGTAGTGTGCTGAAGGTTCTTGTGGTCCAACACTTTATCTGTGCAACATTTCATGCAAAGGAAATTAAAACACATATAGTGAAAGCATTTCCCTAATATGTTTCCAATCTGCAGTGCACTTTAGTAATTTGATTTGTAGCAGTGGAGAGCAGTGTTATTCGGCTCTCTGCATTTATTCATAATTTTGGGGGAACTCACATCATGGCTCTGATTCTATGAAAACATCTATTGAACATTGCTGAAGTCCTTTATTATTCTGCTCATGTGAACTAAGGTTTCCAGCACAGTGATATCTGAAAGAACCCATGGAAGGTGAGCCTACTCTGTCTTCTGTCTTAGACAAGAGAAGCCAATGTGAAATGAGATTGTTTCACTCGCCAGAAGTGCATCATTGCTGCAGCAACGCAGCCCTTTAATTTCTGCATGGTCCTTCCTGTGTATTCTTGCTTCTATAATTTTTGAATTAAGCATTCCAGACTTACATTGCTAAATTTATCTGCCCAGTGGACTTCTAAGGATATAGTGACTCCTAAGGATAGCAGGTGTGTCCTCCCAAAAAGTGTAATCCCCAGTGTGGAGGCCATGATTTGTACCCACTAAATCAAGACTCTCCTTAAGTTAACTGGCTTGTTTCCGATTTTGAAGATACCTGTTTTTGCCAATGAATAAGTATGACTTTTGTTACACAGATAGGTAATAACCCATGAATTTGTAGTTTCAGATTTGTTTACTTTATTAACTAGGAGTAAAATAAAAGTAAAATGGATAACCATTGGTTTTAGAACTGATACGTCTTGGAAGGTTTTATTTTGTGAATACAGTAGCTCTTCAAGGGTCTTAGGCATAGAATTTGTAGTTAATTCCTCTATTTTAATTTCTGCATTTATTTTCTATGATTTAAACTTCCCTCTTGATCTTCAGCAATTTTGAATTCATTTAGAGTCCTGTGAAGTCACCTTTCCTAGTGGTGATTTAGTTCTGATATGTCTTACCTTTTAATAACCATAAATAAAGTCATGATCTTAGACATTTTTACTGAGAGTTCATCAATCTATGGCTTTCCATTAGCAAATATTGCCCATGAAGTGAGTGGATTCAGCAGAGAAAGAATTAATGTAAGTGAATGGAAAATAGATCCTGAGAAGGCTTAGTTGTATTCTGGGGAGAATAGCCAAGGGTACAGTGGCAGTGGATCCTGTGATCACTAGTTTTGGTGTGCAGGACATAGCTTCTTTTGCTCCAGATGTAAAAGAAACCCTGTGCATTCTTGGTCTGTTTTCTCACTTCCTTTTTTTTTTGCATTTAGGCTGCACCTATGAAGGAAACACCTACAATAGCTCCTTCAAGTGGCAGAGCCCCACCGAGCCCTGTGTCCTGCGCCAGTGCCAGGTAAAGTCCAGCAAAAAGCAGCCCAGAGAGACTCTGCAGCAGCCACTTTCCACCAACCCAGAGTGATACCCAAACAGTAAAGATAAAAAACAAATGCAAACCCCACAGCATCCTTGTAGTTTATTGTGACATCACCAATACAAGACAGGTACAGGATAAATATCATGTAGAACTTGTTTCCAGAAACACAGTGAAATTGTCCCCATTGTGAAATTGTTCCTGGAAAAAACTCCAGGAATATGCATATGTATCCTTGGAAAATACATGTCTATCTGTGAAATCATCTTTGAGCAAAACATGAATTCCTGTTAGCAGAAAGGAGGTATTGTTAGAAAGATGTATTTTCCTTCTTTGATTTGGAAAGATTTTGAAGATAAGCCAATCTGTAAACTATGAAACTGAAGCACTCAGTGATTTCAACTTGACAAATCTAGGAACCACCAGTTTAACGTCTTCTAAGGAGACCACAGTGGCTCACCCTTGAGTATTCCAACAACAGCAGTAATCCCACGTGGCCCTGATGCCTGCAGGCATTGAAGACAATGCAATGAACCAGAGGAGGGAAGAATCCAAAGCCCAAAGTTTCAAACTTGTCTTCTTTTCTCTATAGTAATACTCTGTTTAAGAAAATAATGCTCATCTAATCTTAGTGTTACTTAAAAATTGTTCTCTGTAGAGAAGGTGCTGTTAAATCATTTTATCACAAAACCCATTTCATTATCCCAGCATCAAATGTGCATTGGAAGGAGATTGGAAGATAAATACCATAATGGACATTTCTCTCTGATCTCATCTCAAGCACAATGACATTTAGCATATTGAGATCTCTATTTTCTGTAGTCATGTTTTCATTAGATGGCCAAAGGAGGCACACTCAAAGATCTTCAGCTGTTCATTCAATTAAATATTCAGCTTTTTAATGCAGTGAATCTAAGTTATTTATGAAAGTAAGAAGGAGGTAAAAATGAAATAAACAATAGATTCATTTAATTCAAAGTTTGTTGAAGTTTTTAACTCCAGATTATAAATTGAACTAGCCTCAAGGTATAATGAAACAAAAACAAAAAAATTAGCACCAGAAGCACCCCCGCCACCTTCTAAAATTTTCAACCCTCCATCTCTACCCTGTGTCTTTATTTCTCTTTCAGTATTGGAAATTGAACTCAGGGCCTTGCATGTGGTAGAGAAGAACTCTACCACCCTATCACTGAGCTATGTCACCAGGACTTTTTATTTTTTTGAGATAGCATCTTTCTAAATTGCCTAGGTTAGCATGAAACTTGTGATCCTCCTGCCTCGGCCTCCTGAGTAGTTGAATTATAGGCATCTGCCACTGTGTGCCTCTTACCCTGGTTTCTTTTCAGATCATATAAAGCATTCCCCTTCTACCCTACCTGTTTTTCAGAGAAATTTCTACTCTTTAGCAGAGGCATCTGAGAGTAATGGTTCTAATGTTTGGTAAACAAGAGGACAACATGCACTTTGGGATGTAGATAACATTTTTATAAACAACCAGAGGTCCTGAAGGTCCTAAGTTGCTTGGACAAGGGTTGATTTTGCTCCCTTTAGATGAAGACATTACTTAGATTAAATGGAAGCTACCATATAGCAAGGGATATTTTGTTGCCTGAAAAACACATTAATCCATTATAGTGGTTAACACTGAGACTCCTGTTGCCTGCCATCTTTGGTCATTAGCACGCAGCCCAGAGAGAATTGAAGCAGGAATATCAAGTTGTTATCTGAAAAGTCAGGAAATGGGAGCTGTGGAGGAGGGCTCAGAAAGGCACATCACCTGCTGAATATGAACCTTCTTTCCCTTCTTCCTCCTGTGCTAAAACTTCACCTGAGCCCTGCTAGCTGTAAGAGGTCATTTCATTTCACAAGCAGAAGAGCAAACCTCTGTGCAGGTGCCACAGAAAGGTGTGCCATTGCCCACCCAGCACCTTCCAGTCCCAGTTCCTGCCTTCCTGCTTCCATCTTTAGGAGGATGCAGGAAATGACCATTTTTGCCTGACATGTGTACAAACAGGAACTAGACAGGTGCCAGCAAGCCTGATGTCCTGGTCTTTTTCCACTGGAGTTTAATTCCACTTTCTTATATCCTCTGATGAAAGGCATTCTGGTGGTGGAACATTTACCTGTTATTTTCCCACTTTTAATTTCTTGATGGAGGAGGATGAGCTGAAGGTCACAGATAGGAAGTTCATGCTGGGAACCAGCCTGAGTATCCATTTGGATTGGAGATGTTGAAGGAAAACTGACTCCAGACCTTACCTAGGCTGACTAGTTGTTTCTAAAGGGGTGGTGGGTCTTTATCTGGAGATAGGTGTTGGAGACCAGAGGAGAATTAAGGCTTAATTGGCCTGCTCTCTGAGCACAAAGGAGAAAGGCTGCACTCAGGGGAGACATATTGCATATTAAGGAAAAGTTAAGACATCTGACGTGAAGTTGTTTACCAGAGTGTACTAATGGATATGGGAAAGCAGGAGAACCTTGTGTTACTTTGATTGCTTGTGGTTGTGTTGGGTGAATAAAGGCAAGGTGAGCCAGAGGCTAGGAGCTCCTCTGCCTCGAGGAGGAGGCAGGATGGTCGCAGGATGGGTCCGGTGCAGGTGGCGCCCCAGCATGGGGCTTGGATCCCAGGGCTGCCTACAGAAGGGCCCTCTGGATGCAATGCAGGGGACCACACTTTATGCTTCAGAGTTAATGACTTAAATGTAAGAACAATGATAGAAAATACAGCCAGCATTGAAAACATAAGACAACTGAATGAGCGGCAAGACTCTGTCAGCTACCAATGGACTACAAGAAAGTCTTAAAACTAGATTTAAAAGAAAGAAATACCAAAGAGAATGCAAAGTCAGGAAAAAGAGGTGATGGGGTTTGCCCTCTGAGGTCCCAAGCATGGGTAGTGATGAACAAGGGTGCTGCTTCCCTCTGGGTCTGATGCCCACTCCAGTGTGACTTTATGAGTTTAGGTTCTTCTCCCGTCTTGGTTACTTTCTGAAGTTGTAGCTCCTTGGCAGGAGTCCTGGGCTGGCTGACTGTGCCTTTTCTTTTGCAGGAAGGTGTTGTCACAGAGTCTGAGCTGCATTGTGTTGTTCACTGTGGAAACCCAACAGAGCACCCAGGAGCCTGCTGCCCCACCTGTCCAGGTACCCTCCTCAGCAAGTGGGAGGCCAGAAGGCTCCTTGGTGCAGGGCAAGACTGTCGATATTTCTGTGTCCCTCAGGATGCACCATTCCTATTCCCCTGCTGGATTTTCCTCACTGGACCTCTGTGCACCTAATGGCTCTAGCGAGTGCCCTCCTCCTTCTTCGCATGGAACTATCTGGCTAGAACATTTCCCCTCCCTTTCCTGAAGGGGATTATAAAGGTGTGCCCAGCAGGAGGGTAGTGTGCTGTAGATCTTGGCTGATGGCTTCTCTGGACTGAATGTCTGCTTTCTACTCCCAGGCCGACAGGTAATGCTTACTTTGGAAGGCTAGGCTGTAGCTTCTCCTTGCTTCCAAAAATGTCCTTTTACTGCTTTGTATTGCAGTTCCTTTGCCAGAGCTCACCTTGGTGATGAGGTGACCAGATGTTTTCTGAAAACTGAGAGCTGTGTCCCACATGAATTTAGCTTAGGTTTTTGCCAGTGCCCTTTTTTGGTGTGGGTGCAGAAGCTGGACCCACTGTTTTTTGTAGGGAGGCCCCTACCTCACTGACAGTGAAGAGCTCTTCCTTTACCAGTGGCCAAATCTTTCCTCTCACTTTCCCAAAGCAGGATGCAAAGGCCTCCTGCAGCTCTTCTTGCCCTTTCCCATAAGGCTAGGAATTTTGAGGTGAGAGATTTTTCTGATCTCTTAAGCACTTGCTGAGCATCTAGGGCAGGTGCTCTGCATTTGGGGTTTTTTCTGAGCGTTCTTCCTCCTTGGTGACACTACCTCCACTACTTTGCTTTACAGGATGATCTTGAGGCCCTGTTGTTCTCTGAGCCTCCTGTAAAGTGGTGAAGGCCCCAGGGAGTCCTCTACAGACATGAGACCCTCTACATGATGGACTCAAGTCCTTTTCTGAATTCAGTCTTTTCTTCTTCTTGAATGACAAAGATGGACAGTTTCTACCATTTCTGACCTTCCTTGTGTCATGCATAGTCTTCCTTTTCACAGTGGGATTTCTGTAAAGCTTGTTATTGACGAACTCTTAAGAAGACCAAAAACTGGTTAAAAGTACTATGCACTAATTCTTTGTATAATACAGTTATTTCATATCCATCAAATAGTTTGTCCTAGTACCTTTCCCTTCTGAATGCATCAAAAGTTTTTCATCAAGTCACCATGTCCTTGAACATTGCTGGGATCTTTATGAAGTGAATGAATAGCTTTCTGGGCTGCACCTTGGAATTTCCTGGGAAGCTGAAATGCTGCATCTTGTACCCCAGCTGCATCTCAGTCCAAGTCCATCAGAATCTGGACGGGATGATTTCCACACACAGCCAAACTGGAGATTGATAAACAAGTAAACCGTATTTGTCATGTAGATTTAAAAATCACTGTAGCTCTTAACTATGGATTCCAGTGTGCTGAGTAGACTTGCTTTGTTGAGACAGAATCCACTCAGAGCCTCCCACTCACAACTATGGGAGGCTCAAGAGGCAGGAACAGCACCAGGGAGCCCTTAATGCCCAGCACCCCTCCCCATGGGTAACATCCTTTCAGGGAAGCCCTGTGTCCAGGCTGCCTGAGAAACACAGTACACAAACAGGAGCGTGGATTTATCTCAGCAGCTGAGTGCTCCTATGTGAGCGATTACTTCGTTCACTCCTTGTTTGGGTTGGGTTCCCAGGAAGGAAAGGACCGAACTCTATGATCACATTTGCTGCAGTGCTGAGTTCTTACCACTGTCCAGTGAGGGGTGAGGTATTGGTCAGTAGTGCCTGCTGAGGTCCCTGAGTGAGCAAGGACCAGAGAACCCTGTGTTCCTCTCTCCTCTCACCCTACCTCACACCACAGGAAGTGCCCTGCTCAGACCTATCTTTAAAAGCAGGTATGCCCGTGTCACATGCCAGCCCCTGACCCTGGGAGGCTCTGTGCCCTCGGTTAGGAGGTCAAGACTCAACTTTGTCCCTTCTCGGTTCTAAAGGGCAGCATTTGGGATACAAGTGGGAAGGTTCAGAAGGAGCCACCTGAAGAGTCCAGTGCCCTTTGTCTTGGGAAGATGCTCTGCTGAGCCTCAGTAGGGACAGTTAGGGGAGGCCTCAGCTGTGCTGTGTCTTTGGGTTGCAGGAGGACAGCGTCTGTTATTGATTAGGGTGTGGCATTCTGCATGACGACAGACATGCCCAGTTTGTGGTCAGTTTCTTCCTGTAACATATTTCAGGGCATTCCCATCTCTCTGGTTTCCCCCATATGACTTTTTGCTCAATTTTGATGAGTTGTGATGGGAACCATTTGAAAAGAATTTCCACCTAAAATCCCCTGACCTCAGCTGTCAGTGTAGATTGCTGTGGTTAGTCTGTCTGGCTGTCTGGATGACAGAGTCAGGGGTGCAAACACACACAAAAGATTGGAGACACTTTGTTGGACATTCCCTTCGGAGAAAGACGACTGAGCAGCTGCCATTTATAAATAGCACTGAGACACAACTGCTGGGGACAGCACTTACCGAGTCTAACCATGTCACTGAGACAGCAGGGGTGGCTGCTGCTGGTTTTGGTTGTGGGTATCAGGAAAATCTTATCCCTGGAGCAGTTGTAAAATTCAGTTTTACTTGCCTTTTTGGATCCAGACTCAGCAGTACTTATCTATACATTTTTCTGTTGAACAGAGGATGGGGCAGGTGGGGTAGCAACCACTCCTCCTGTCAGGACTCAGCTGCTCCAAGAGTGGAGGGCTTCTACTGACACCTTTAGCCAATGAACTTTGGACGCTTTTGTGTCCTACATAAGAGCCTGTGGGCAGCTCAACACCCTCTGGCCAAGTATCTTGTGAGGACCGTCCTGGGGAAGGTAGCTTTGCTAGGAACCCACAGCCTCTGTGGCCCACATGACATGGCAGCCTGCACTGCAGATCATTTGTGACATTACTTTAGAATGTGGCAGTGATCTGAGCATCTTTCTGATAAGGGCACAGGTCCTGGTGTTTGATCTTTTCCTTGGCCAGACTTGGTGGGGGGGCAGAGCCCTTGATCACACCCTGATTGGGTTGCAGGCCATGGGAGTCACCTGCTGAGCCCTCTCTTCACTTTCTTGGCTTTGTGCCAGATTTGCTCCATAGCACAGAAGGAGGCTCAGAATCGAGTATGAATCCCAGCTCAGCCACCTGGGAGCAGGGTAAATTACTTCCCCTTAGAGCCACATTTTCCTCATATGTGGAGAAAGGGATGGTATCCCTACTCTGTAAAGTCACTGGGGAGGTGGAGGGGCTCAGGTATGTGGAGTAGAGGCTGACAGTCCTTGGTGGCACCTGCTCTTGATCCCATGGTTGACTCCCTCCTTGACCTTCCTTGGCCTTTCTTGGTCCTTCTGAGGTTTGGGTCCCGGCAGTGGCCAGAGTAATAGTGACACTGCTCCAGGCATGCATGATTGGGCTCCTTGTAGTGCATTGCTCCCCACCCTCAGGCTGACTTGGGCTCCACTGCCCTCTGTTTTCCAGTATCCTTGGGGTTTTTGGTCCCATGCCAGCACCCTGACCTTCGCATACTCTATTTTACTGTGTACCAGTGCTGCCCACTAACCAAAGAGGACATTGCTGGGTGTCTGAGCTGGAGGTGGGGCATGAGTGAGCAGGCCTTGGAGGACCATGTTACAAGGATACTGCTAATATCTGGTTCTGAACTCTGCTCTGTCTTCCAGGCTGTGTGTTTGAAGGCATGAGGTACCGAGAAGGAGAGGAATTTCAGCCAGAAGGGAGCAAGTGCACCAAGTGTTCCTGCCTCGTAAGTCCTATGTGGATGTCACTGGAGTCCCTGGGCTCATGGCTGTTTGTTGTCCCCAAGCAGCTATCTCAGCCTGGGTGCTGCTGGCCCTGGACTGGGTCATCTCAAGTGGTGGGGCGGGTGTATGTCTTGCAGGATGTGTACCAGCAGCCCTCACTTCCACTCTTAATTCCATCTACAGCCAGCGGGGTCAGCAGGCATTTCCCAGGTCCCCTGCCAAACAACCTTGCTTGGAACTAAGGACCGCTGCTCTGGAGCATGAGGGAGTGTCTGTGCTGACTGCTTTTGGGGTATTCTGTGGGTTTCTGTTTCTTGGGGCAGAGGATATTCCTGCTGGGGCAGTGTTGGGTTTGCTGCGGTCAAACAGAAAGCAGATGGGTATTCTGTGTGGTGAGGCCTCACCAGGTTCGAGTGTGGAGGATGAACAGGAGGAAATTGCCCATAAATGCTGGCTCCAGGGCAGAGGAGGGTTAGTGAGGCAGGACCATAGACTTACTTTTGTAAGTACTGTCTTTTATATGCTGAGGTTATTCTCCTGGAGTTTAGGAAGAAGAGGAACCTAGCCTGGGGTATAATTTTAAAGTGACCTTTCTATTAATGTGTTTAACTTTGCAGAGCAATGACGGGTGGTGGTGGTTGTGGTAGTGGGAATCTGGTCTTGAGCAGAGGCCCCACATTATTTACAGTAGGGAATTGGTACAGTCCTTTACTTCTTTTTTTGTCTTGTCTAATAAAGAACACACATTCTTCAAGTTGCTGCTAACTCAGTATGCATCTTAGAATATTAAAAAGAAAATACATGGGGAACTCTAGCATCTTACTTTCACCAAAGCAGAATCACATGTGAGTCACAATCACAGCATCTGTCATTTATCAGCTGTCATCTCTAAGACCTTTCCCACCTCCTCTAGCATAGGCCCACTGTCTTGGCACCCAGAGTAAAGGACCCCTGGCTGAGGACAACAGTGATTGTCCTGAGGATGAGAGAAAGAGAGAAGAAATGAGAGAGGACGGTATATTGTGTATCTCAAAATAAAACATATATAGTACTTAAGTAATAAAACACAATAGTAATTTACTAATGAAAAGGAACATAACTGCATACTCCAACTGAACTTCGTGTTTTCTTGCAGGTCATGAGTAAGTGGCTCTATGTTACTTTATGTAAATGATTTCTATTAGTGCCCATTCCTACATGTTATTTCTTCCATATTGACAGTTTAATGTTTTGTGGTAATAATAATTATTATTTTAGTATCCTCATTCTTTTGGGAATAAGTTGAGGAAAAACAAAGTGGTTTTGATAGGACGTTGTGCATGTGCGCCTGGACAAATTGTCCTTCTGATAAAGCTGTGCCAAGGGCAGACAACTGACCTCCACCCCAGGAGGAAAGGTAGAAGGTGTTCAGGAGGAGGGAAATCCTGTGGCTGTATCACAAAATCCATCAAAGCAATGGAAATCCCAGAGCACTGGAAATTAACTTGGGCCTTGGGTTCAAGTGTCAGAGACACAGTATTCTGAAATGTTCATTTCATTTGCTTTAAAACTTGATATCCACCAAAAGAAATGCACCTGGGGCTGGGTTCAGGCCCCTGGAAGTCCTGCTTTCATTTTCTGTTGGGAAAGAAAAATCTAAGAGTGAGTTCTCTCTAGGAAATGCAGTCTCTAGCCTCTCCTCTAGGCTGAAAGTCCAATTTCCTGTGTTCCTATTGTTTGAAATAAACCCCCAAACTCAAATTGTCAGTGCAGATAATAAAGCACTTAGACATCAAGAAATCTCAACAAGGCATTTCTGCAGAAGGGTACAAGCATGAGGTAGCAGGTGTGCAGGACAAACGAGGGTGGCCCCTTTTATCCCTAATGCAGGAGAAGCAGCTGACCTTTAAATTCATCGACTGAATTCAAAGGCTTATTATCTATTTTGTTTGACTAACATGAATTGCACGAAGAGGGAGGTGTTGCTGAACAAATTAGAGAGGGAGCATATGGTTTTGAATACAAAGTTCTTAGTTTTTATTGTGAGGGTGGGTGATGTGCAGTTTGGAATGGATAGTTCTTGGTTCTTTATATTGGAAACTGGCTGTGTTCTGGGGAAAGGTACATAGTCACTATTTCTTGGAGCTCAGGATATTAACAGAGGAGAGTGGGTAGTGAGTAGATGACCAAGTCATTTAAACCCAAAATGGAATTGCCTGGGGCTTGTATTTGACTTAAAAGACAAAGCCTATTTCTCACACTAAATCTTGATATTCTTTCAATTCTCCACGTTGTCATGCTCAAGACTTAGTGAATGTTCCTGATGTCGGTCTTCAGACTCAGAGAGCAAACCAGCCCAAGGATAGGATTCCCGCTGGGAACTGGAGCAGAGTGTGGGGATTGGGCCTGGGAAGGGACACACAGCAGCCTTTCTTTCATGGATATGGAAGTTTGAGGTGTAAGTTCTCTATTATTTAGAAAATGATAACAAGGAAAAAAGTCTACATGCTCAGTACAGACACAAGTTTTTTCCCAAATATTTTCAATCTGTGGATAGTTGAATTCTTAGATGTGGAACCCACAGATATGGAAGCTGATTACATATTATATGGACTTCTATTTATGTGTACATATGTCTGTGAGTGAATGTGTACACTTATATGCACATATGTACCATGTATGATTGAAACATATGGTGAATGTTTAAATTATACAAACAGTAAAAACACATTGCCATTAATCCTGCTTGCAATACTCCCTCCCTTCAAACATTTATCCCATTGTTTTTACCACTTTCTGCTGAAGTTTTGGAAGTCCTCCTTCATGAGTGTCGTTACGGGGTATAGTCACCCCATAGTGCTGCTGCTGCGTGCCATCCAACAGATAGGTAGGCTCATAAAAACATCATGCTGTATCTTCATCCACATTATTCATCACATCCGGATCTGCAACATCTGGCTCTTTTTCAAAGTCAAAATGACCGTGAAAGGAAAAGGTTTTAAATTGGTTCAGGACATTGAGGCAGCCACAACAGAGAAGCTAAAAACAATTAGGAGAGAAGACTTGCAGAACTGCTTCAGAAAGTGGCAAGAAGGCTGGGATCAGTGTGTTTAAAGTGAGGGGGAGTATTGGAGGGGATTAATAGCAATGTGTCTTTTACTGTCATGAATTTAAAAAATGGAAACACTATATATTTTATCTCACCTCATACAAAGGTACCTTGGTTCACAGTTTGTTCCACAATTCTGGGAAAAATGACCACATTCCTATTCATCAGCTCTTGTGGCGTTTATGAACAAAAGTAAAATTTTGCCCAATGCTTCTGTTAGCTAACTGAATTGTTAACACCAAAGTTAAAGGATGAGAGGTTTATTTGCCTCATAGTTTGTAGATGTTTTAGTCCATAGTCAGCTGGCTCCAAGGAAGGATGCCATGGTAGAGGGGCAACACAGAGGAGACATAGTCCATGGTAAGGAGGCAGGTGAGAATATATTATCCCTTTTTCTCTCCCTCATATTTTATGCAGGCTACTGGCCCTGGGTGAGTGTAGCACTCACACCCTTAATCCTAGCCAGAACCATGCCAAACCCATCAGTGGACTGATTTAGTAATCACAAATCCTTGATCCCAGCACCACACACTCTAGATCCAGCCACCTTTGAAAGTACCTCCTATGACTGTATGAGGCTTTGGAGGCACATCTAGACACAAGCCGTAACAATGGCTATAAACGCACACACACACACACAAACATACTCCCATGTCTAAACTGTTTTCCTCCAAACACAGACCCTAATACAAGTATCTGTTTATGTGTAGTTTATGGGAGGACCAGAGAAGACAGAAGGAGTTCAGAGGAGAGGAAGAAGGGTACAGCCAGCAGAGTGGGGATTACCAGGCGCTGTGGTCCAGCGTCCTTCACAGTTATGTTAAAACTTGGTCAGCATTGTGGTAGCATTAAGAAGTGGGCCCTTGAGGAGGTGATTAGGTCTTGGAGGGTCTGCTTTTGTGAACGGATTCTTGCCCTTTAGGAGTCTGGCCCAGGAAGATGCAGTAGCAGGCACCATCTTGAGATAGAAGGAGCAGTGTCCCCAGATAGCAGGCTGGCTGGCAGTTTGGTCTTGGGCTTTGCAGCATTTGAAACTGTGAGGACATTTCTGCTCTTCCTGAAACACCTAGCTGTGGTATTTCATTACTGCAGCACACATGGACCAAGACTCACACTGTGCTGTCACTGTGGGCAAACGCTGGAGGCCTGGGTAGAACCCTGGCCTTTAGACTTTCCCACCTGAGGTGAGAGAGTGCACAGCCCCCTGCCGGGCCTCTCAAGGGTTGTCCCCCAGATAATGCTGCTTAGGCGCTGATGGGATGGCATTGCCATGGACGTGAGCATGAACACATATATGCACACACATGACTTTCCGGTGAGCGTTCACCCCATGACATCACAGTTCCTGAGTTATTTCCCTGCTCCGAGTGTTGGTGTGAAAGGGGCCAGGCCTGGCTGTGTGCAAGGTGGACACCATGGTGCCTGTAACAAAGCCTTCTCTCCGTCTCTGCTACTCCTTGCTTTCGTGCAGTGCGCTGAGAAACAGTAATGTGTTTTCTTCCGCGTGGTGATGATTCTGCTCTTTCCTGCCAGCTGGCTGGTCTTGCGTGGGGATCACTTCAGTAAAACTCTACTATCTCTAGCCTGCTGCTAGCTGTAGTGTTGCAGTGGGCAGTGTCCCTCCTGTACCTTATCTGTCCAGGGGAACCCCAACTTTTCCGGTATCCTGCACTCTGAAGTAAATATTGTCGGCACCCTGTAGCTTACATTTTTAAATTCAGCCCTCTTCTTTACAAAACTCCTCACATTTGTGAAAATGCACCTACGTGTGTTTCTTGGGAGGTGGTGATAGAGAGGCAGGGTGCCAGAAAGCTGCTTTGTCTCGAGATGACACCTAAGCTGATGCACAAATGCACATGAGTGCACATCCTGAGTTTAGCTGGGTGGGGCATAGCATTCCAGTTGACTGAGGAC